CATAACAATCACAACCAACAACATTTTTAATTCCAGGTCCCAGAATCCACTGACTGGACATTCAATGTCCTCAATAGTCATAGCCAGGGATTGATGGGAAAAAGGGAAGAGAGGTATTCAGCAGAACCTAGGAATCTATATATGTGTGTGTGTGTGTGTGTGTATACACATAGACATACTACAAATTCCATCGTCCACTGAATTGAAGATTCTGGGGGTTGGGGTCAACACCAACCAATTCTCTTCATTTACTTGCACTGATAGAAAGTAAATAAATAAAATAAAAAGTAAATAAATGAATAAAATAGAAAGTAAATAAATAAAATAGAAAGTAAATAAATAAAATAAAAAGTAAATAAATAAAAATTAGAAGGTAAATAAATAAAATAAAAAGTAAATAAAAAATAAACAGAAAGTAAATAAATAAAATATAAAGTAAATAAATAAAATAAAAAGTAAACAAATAAAATAAAATAGAAAGTAAATAAAATAAAATAGAAAGTAAATAAATAAAATAAAAAGTAAATAAATAAATAAAACAGAAAGTAAATAAATAAAATAGAAAGTAAATAAATAAAATAAAAAGTAAATAAATAAAATAAAAAGTAAATAAATAAAATAAAATAGAAAGTAAATAAACTACAAAGTAAATAAATGAATAAAATAGAAAGTAAATAAATAAAAATTAGAAAGTAAATAAATAAAAAGTAAATAAATAAAAATAGATAGTAAATAAATAAAATAAAAAGTAAATAAATAAATAAATTAGAAAGTAAATAAATAAAAATTAGAAAGTAAATAAATAAAATAAAAAGTAAATAAATAAAATAAAATAGAAAGTAAATAAAATAAAATAGAAAGTAAATAAAATAAAATAGAAAGTAAATAAATAAAAAAATAGAAAGTAAATAAATAAATACAAAGTGAGGAAGAGTTCGGAAGAGTGGACAGCCAACAGAACTTCTTGGAGGAGATACTTGACAGACTACAAATCCCAAAACACACTAGCAGGATTTATTTGGGATTTATTGCTCACTTTTCCTAGCCTAGTTTCCTTTTTATAGCTATAGCTGGCTGGGATTTTAGGAACTGTAGTCCAAAGAAAGGAAGGGGCTTTCCCTGAACAATCTGCTATTAATCTTCTTTTTTCCCCTTTGTTCCCAACCCCAATAAACCTGTGGAAAACATTCCTTTTCTTCTCCATTTCCTCTTGGGAAGCCCTTCGAGGGAGGAAACCCTAAAGTCCAGGAAATGACCAAACGAGTCGTTATTTTTCCAGCCCTGGAGCCGCAGACCGTCTGTTTAATTTGCCAATGCTTCCACAACAGGGTTATTTTCGTACTGCACATCCCAGCATCCCCAAGCAAGCTGGGCTTCCCAATGGTCGAAACATTATTTTGCTAGGGGATAACAATGTCCAGAATCCCCCTCCAGCTGCCACAAAACAGAAGGCACTTGTGGCCAGTCCAAACTGCCTGCTTGAGGACTTGGGATGCCAATGCCCAGCATCCACACTTTTAATGAAAATGAGGATGTGGGGAGTTGTAGTACAGGTCCCGAACCCAGGCAATGTTGTGTCCTTTGGTTTTGGAGTTGTAGTTCACCTACATCCAGATACCACTGTGGACTCAAACAATGATGGATCTGGACTAAACTCTACATGAATACTCAATATGCCCAAATGTGAACACTGGTCGAGTTTGGGGAAAATAGAATCTTGACATTTGGGAGTTGTAGTTGCTGGGGTTTATATTTTACCTACAATCAAAGAGCATTCTGAACCCCACCAATGATAGAATTGGGCCAAACCTCCCATACAGAACCCCCATGATCAACAGAAAATACTGGAAGGGTTTGGTGGGCAGTGTCCTTGAGTTTAGGAGTTGTAGTTCACCTACATCCAGAGAGCACTGTGGACTCAAACAATGATGGATCTGGACCAAACTCTACACAAATACTCAATATGCCCAAATGTGAACACTGGTGGAATTTGGGGAAAGTAGAATCTTGACATTTGGGAGTTGTAGTTGCCGGGATTTATAGTTCACCTACAATCACAGAGCATTCTGAACCTCACCAACGATGGAATTGAACCAAACTTGGCACACAGTTCCCCCATGACCAACAGAAAATGCTGGAAGGGTTTGGTGGGCAATGTCCTTTGGTTTTGGAGTTGTAGTTCACCTACATCCGGAGAACAGAGCATGATGGATCTGGACCAAGCTCTACACAAATACTCAATATGCCCAAATGTGAACACTGGTAGAGTTT